TGATAAAAAGACAAAATCTGAGTGACGGATTCTTGTGTTAATTTAATAGCGGACACATAAATTTGTATTCGGCTTATTAATAGTTGTAACATACTAACATACCTCACAATAAATTGTGTTATTCATACAATAATTCATGGACTTAATAATTGGCCTTAGTGGTTTCTAACTTTCTATGGAACAAAGCAGAACCTTCAAATGCGTAGGGCATTTACTCTCCCATTGGGTTGTTTTCACTTTTTCAGTAACATCCACTATTGAAAATCCACTATACGTGGAGCAGCCAAATTTATAGGTCTATCAAAATCTTCCATACCTAAGTGGGCAAGGTGAAATTGTTTGGGTGGCCATTATATAAATAAACGAATTATTATAATAAGAAGCAATACAAAATGGTATGACTGGATATAATGGAGCACTAACAAGTAAGATTGTTACTTATATGTTTACGGAGGACAAATCTATATATATATATAGAATTGCTAGCCAAACATTTAATAAAACCTCAAAACTTTTCCTCCAAAAGAGGTTACTTTCCATTAATTATAAGTTTTTTATACTTTTTATTTATTTATTATTCAATAACTACTACTAACAAATTATAAAGTCACGTTAAATGATATTATAATTAATTTTTTTCCAAACTATTTATTAAATTATTATTATTTTTTGTTTTAGCTCATTAAACAAGTTTTTTCATTAACATTAGTTACTTAATGTTATGATATAATAAGCAAACTTTTTAGATTTTCGTACACTATTGCTATAACAATAATTTCAATATTGTTTTATCGAATTAATTGTTCATAATAAAAAAAGATTGTAAAAATTATATAACTGCAATCGATATAAAGATTAATATGTAAGTTAATAGCTTATGTTTGTTCGTTTATTTTCACAAATGATAAAATTTATAAAATGTGATATGTCATTATCTAACTTATGATTTAAATATTACATATACATACATATAACATATAAAATTTTATTTACATCTGTGCATGTGCACAAAATAGGATCGAATGCTAGTTCTAATAGAAACAATGTACTTACCCCGCCAACAACCCATGCATAATTCCGTAGATGGATTGCAAATGCTTTTTATAATTTTAATCGGTGACAATGTGAATCTATAGATTTCATATGCGTTATGTTAGAGATTGTCTAGCTTTTTTTGGTTGATTTAATGATTTAATGGATTTGTGTTTGTTTATAAGCAAACTCAACCTATACCCAATTCATACTTAAAATCTAAATCAATTTTAACAAACTACGTTATCCTCAGTATTATTAATATAATTATATAATATCAATTATTTTTCTTACATATCACATTAATTATAATTCACTACTATTCATCCATTCACATAATCTTAACTAATCATCACTTCACACAATCTCTCTCCTATTTTTATTTAGCTTAAAAATCGATTTTAATTATTATTTTAATATAAACTTAAAATCTCACTAACAATTGACCATATATTTTTTTTTTTAAAAAATTAACTTTGGTAAAAAAAAAAAGCGGATATATTTGTATCCAAACACTCCCTTAGTCATCCCTTAATTTGATAATTAATAAAATAAGTCTGTAGCTACCCACTCACTCTACGCAAATAATTAGGTGTGCCAAGGCCTTTGTAAAATACACTCTCTCAAAAAAGCGCGTGAGGTAAGTTTTTTTCTTTTAAATAGGACATGTGTCTCATTTCTATTGGATAATGAATTTTATATATCATATTATATAAATTAAATTATCATTCATATTTTATATTAAAAAATAAAAATAAAAATACCAAAATTCATAATTTTTCATTCTTTACAAATAGAGACCACATTTGATAAGTTTTAGAATACAGTTAATTTATTTTGTTGGAAGATGAAGACGCAGATCCATAATAAGATGAATATGTTATTTAGTAAGATGAACATGTTATAGAATAAGATGAACATGTTACATAGTAAGATGTTATAGAATAAGATGAACATGTTACATAGTAAGATGAACATGCTACATAGTAAGATGAACATGTTATAGAATAAGATGAACATGTTACATATTTACACAATAAGATGAACATGTTATAAAATAAGATGAATATGTTACAAAATGAGATGAACATGTTATAACATAAGATGAACATGTCCGTAACATGTTCATCTTATTTGATAACATATTCATCTTATTATGTAACATGTTCATCCTATGTCAGTATAATAAATTGATTACGAAAAAAATAAATTAATTATGTTAAAAAAGACCTATCAAATGTGGTCTCTATTTATAGACAATGAAAATTTATGAATTTTGGTATATTTATTTTTTTATTTTAATATAAATCATTAATGATATTTTAATATATCTAATATGTCTCATTTTCAATTAAAAAAAAGAAAGTGGCATGTGTACTACACTCTTTCATTTTGTTGGTTTTTGGGAGTGATTAGACGCGTGCATAATTGCCCTGGCACACGGTAGTAGTACTGCTCACTCTAAGATACGTTTACGTGTACAGTTTGATGATTAAAACACCCCTCTAAAGTCTAAAGAACAACTAGTGTGTGATTTTCATTTTAAGAGTCATGCCCCAGTGACATCCTTATATTCTGCAACTGCAATGACATAAAACTTTGAAGTTGTGTGTGCAAACAAAATAATGCAAAAGAAGAACACAAATAGGAAGAAAAAAGAGCTACATAATTACAGCCTTCAATGATAAAACTTCTGACTCTATCTGACTCACATGAGTTACCATAAATCCTTTTAACTTCTCTGCACTAAAGAATTTATCTGTCTCGGTTTATATCTCTTTGTTTTAGTTCATTCTCCCCTCATTTCCACTTTCAAATAGCATTTGTGGAGTGGGAGCACGTAGTGTGGAAAACACTATGCACAGTGGTAACACGGATAAAATCCATTAATTAATTAAAACTAGTGGTCTTTGCCATTTTTTGGTTACTGATTTAATACTATATAAAGAGATCGGGTTTAAGGCCTTGGCAGTGTGTAAATCATCATTCTGAGTACATTGGAATTAACCATGAGAGGTTTTTATCTTTTTCTCGGTTTCGGTCTTTTGGCAGTCATCTCATTTCTTGGAGAAGCTAATGCTGCCAAATTAGGAAACTATATTGTGTACATGGGAGGTTTACGTTCACGAGAAGGTGACCATGCTCAGCTTCTGACCTTGCTTAAAGGAAGGTTTGTACTTTATTTATTGAAATATTTAACTTCCCAATAAATATGGAACATTTTGTAGCAAACAAGAAATATGTTTCATTTTTCATCTAAAGAATGGCCAATTTAGGATAACAAAACTTGTTTTGCTGTGTAATATATTGCATAGATTTGTGCACTTGTTAATTTGGTTCATTTGATCTTTTCTTGTATACATAGGACTTGAACAGCATCATCACAAAAGCGCTTCATCTTTATGTTCTAATAACTGAAATCACATGTCAATTTTTTTTTTATTTTACAGGAAAAAGGATTCTGTTCTACAAATCTACAGAAACGGTTTTCTGGGTTTCGCGGCTCGATTATCGGAAGCAGAAGCAAAATCCATGGAGGAAAGCCCTGGAGTGGTGTCCGTTTTCCCTGACCCAATTTTACAACTCCACACGACTCGTTCATGGGATTTCCTCAAATACCAAACCGCTTTAAAGACTGATGCTAACATCATCTCCCCTGCAGCCTCAGCTGACACTATCGTTGGCATCTTAGATACAGGTGACAAATTTTCAATCTTATTTTCCACTCCCCAATAGTTTTTTTTTTTTTTATATATATAATATGTAGAAAACTGCTACAAGTACATAATAAATGTACATACAGATGTACATAACACTCACATGGAGTGGAGTCCACTTGATTTTTTATTTTTAGTAAGACCCACTTAATGTGAGTGTTATATACAACTCTATGGACAGTATTATGTACTTATAGCATTTCTCATATATGTAAACCAATCATTTGTCAAGTACAAAACAGAGATTAGCTGACCACAAATATGCATTCATTTACGTTTGGAAACATCTTTTTCAGGTATTTGGCCGGAATCCAAGAGTTTCACCGATCACGGCATGAGCCCCGTCCCGTCACGTTGGAAGGGCACATGCATGGCCGGCGACAATTTCACTTCGTCTACGTGCAACAGGTGAAAAAACATTCTCAACTTGGGTGTATTTTTTTTTTTTTTAATTTTTTTCCGAATTCGCAATTCTCACGAAATTTTTTTTTACCCGAAAACAGAAAACTCATCGGTGCAAGATACTACACCGGCACAAGCTCGTCGAAAAGAACTCCCATTCCCATGGGGACCCCACGTGACGACGTGGGTCACGGCACCCACGTGGCCTCGACCGCGTCCGGAAGGCCCGTCTCGGGTGCTTCCTACTACGGCCTCGCCAATGGGACCGCTTTTGGCGGGTCCACCGAGTCGAGGATAGCCATGTACCGCGTGTGCACAGCTAGCGGCGGTTGTCTCGGGTCCGCCATTCTCAAGGGGTTCGACGATGCTATAGCGGACGGAGTCGACGTGCTGTCCCTGTCCCTGGGGTCGTCCCCTGGGGAGCCTAACTTTGTATCCGACCCTATAGCTATCGGTGCCTTCCACGCAGTCGAGAAGGGGATTGCAGTTGTGTGCTCGGCGGGGAACAGTGGGCCCGCGCCGAAGACTGTCGTTAACGTAGCTCCGTGGATACTAACTGTGGCGGCGACGACCATCGACCGTGATTTCGAGACGAGGGTCGTCTTGGCCAAGGCGGGTGTGGTGAAGGTATTATTATAATATCACTTGTGAGTTATCCCACATCGTTTATATATACAGGGAAAATAGGCCTTAACTTATAAGTCTAGTGGGTTACTCATTCTTTCACCAATTGGTTTTGGGATGGGATGGGATGAAACCTTACTATGACACATCTAGGCTCACCCTGCTATGATGCGCTTCACGTGCGTGGGACTGCACCCCTTTCTCCCGGTTTTTTACATGTATTTTTCGAGTTTTGTTTATTTGTTTCCTTTTTTTGATTTGGAGAATATTGTAGGGAGGAGGAATCAATTTATCGGGTCTCAATAAATCGGCGGTTTATCCATTAGTGGACGGGAGTAGCGTGCGTTCGGCTTCCGGACGTGCTAGTGATGCAAGGTATTATTATAGACGCAATTG